GAGCCTCGAGTTGTTGATAGTGCTATCGGAACGATTTTGTGTGTTGTTCAGTGTTCTCGTTAACGAGTGCAGGGGAGTGTTCCGATAGACTGATTTAGGCAGATACTTTTTGCACGCGGCAAGGTTTTAGTTGCGAGTTGCGAGACACAATGGATCTCGAAAAGTTAGTCGCTCTTGGTGATAAGATGGGTCTTTCCGGCGCCGAACTACGGAAGTGGGTAAGCCAGAAGGAGAAAGAGGCGGTGGAAAGAGAGAGGTTGGCAGCTGAGAGAGCCAAGGAAGAAAAAGCAGCTGAGTTGGAGAGAGAGAGGTTGGCAGCTGCGAGAGAGAAGGATGAAAGAGAGCAACAATTGAAGTTGGAATTGGAGAAAGAAAAGTTGGCTGCTGAAAGGGTTAGAGAAGAAAGAGAAGCAAAGGAGCGACAGCTGAAAGAAGAAAGAGAGGCAAAAGAGCGACAGCTGAAGGAAGAAAGAGAGCAGCAATTGAAGTTGAGCTGGAGAGAGAAAAGTTGGCAGCCAAAAGGGCGAGAGAAGAAAGAGAAGCGGAGATGGCTGAAAGGGAACGGCAGCGGCAGCACGAGATGGAACTCGAGCGGCTCCGTTTGCAACAGCGAAGCGAAACTCCCGTCCAAGCTAGAGTTGAAAGCAGCGAACGGGAAGATCACGGCTTCTGCTTGAACCCAAGCAAGCTGCTCGTAGCGTTTGATGAAAGGAGGGACGACCTTGACGCGTACCTTCACCGATTTGAGACGATTGCGAAGAGCCAGAATTGGCCGGAACATCAATGGGCAACTGTTTTGAGTACTTGCTTGAGTGGTGAAGCGCTCAGTGTGTACGGTAGGCTGACGCCGACCGATGCAGCCAACTATGCAAAGGTGAAAGCTGCTTTGCTGAAGCGATTTAGATTTACCGTGGAAGGATTCCGAGACAGATTTAGGACAGGAAAGCCAGCGGATGGTGAGACGGCTACGCAGTATGCCGCCCGACTTTGTCATTATTTCGACAGATGGATTGAACTTTCAGGGACAGCGCAGGAGTACGATGAGCTTAGAGAGCTCCTAATTAGAGAACAATTTCTTACTAGTTGCCACCCAAGCCTGTCGCTGTACTTGAAAGAGAGGAAGGCTGAGTCACTTGAAGGAATGCTTGAATTGGCTGATCAATTCTTGGAAGCGCAAGGTGGAACTAATTTGGCCAAGGTCAAGAAGGATTGTCCCGATGATTCGAAGAAATTGGCTCCCGAAGAAAAGAAGCGTGCACCAGAGAGCATTCCGCGATGTTTTCTGTGCAACCGAGTGGGTCATCGCGCGAAAAACTGTCGAACGATCTTTACTAGCCCTGCGGTTGTAAAATGTTTTAAGTGTGGTCAGACTGGGCACAAAGCAGATGCATGTCAAAACGGAGCGAGTCAAACTCACCAGGTATCTTGTGTGCAAGCGGCACCGAAATCTGATGATAATGCCGTCACCGATGGATTCGTAGAGTTGAAGAATGGGGAGAAAATTCCTATTGTGGGTGCTGTAATGTCAAAACAGCCAACCGGTGTTACGAAAGGAATGCCAACGCTGCCTGGAAAAGTTGCGGGCAAACAGATTACGGTGTTAAGAGATACCGGCAGTTCCACTGTTATCGTGCGGAAAAATTTGGTACGGGAAAGTGAGTTGACAGGCAGAACGAAACCGGTTTGCCTAATTGACCGTACAGTTCGGCTACTTCCCGAAGCAGAAATTGAGGTTGAAACCCCGTACTTCAGCGGGAAGGTTACTGCTTTATGCATGACGACCCCCCTGTATGACCTTGTCATCGGAAACATCGACGGGGCGCGAGGGCCAAGTGATCCAGAATGTTTGGGAGAAGACCCGAAGATAGAGCCCTCGCCAACACAGCGGCCGCGAGATACAGTGGAGGAGCATCCCGTGACGGATCTCACTAGAGCCCGAGGCGAAGCCGCGGCGCAAGAGACAGCGAAGGAGAAGACGATCGTGTCGAATAAGTTCGCGGGCCGAGCAACCGGACTTACGTCGGCACGACCTCAACCGACCGACAGTGTAAAGGAGACGGAGTTGGCCAGCCGGGCAAAATGTAGAGGCATGATCAAGCGGGTAAATAAACAGACAGGACCCGTCGAATGTAATGACGCGTTAACGGTGTCGGAAGAGACAACGATGGCTGAGACAACGCCTCAGATATCGTCGTTGGAAAGGGCTCGCCGAAAAGGAACGTGGAAACACAAGAAGAGATCGAGCGAGCACCGCAAGAAAGGGCGCAAGCGCCGCTCAAAGTACACAGGATAAGTGCTGAGGTCAAAGCAGAATGTGTTTGGCAGTGTTGAGTGCCATATGTTGTGTTAATGTTGTGGTATCCTGTGTCACAAGTGTCGAAGTGTTGTGCTGTGATGTGATGTATAGTATTGTACCATTGTTGTAGTGAGAGAACTTTGTCCATTTGTATATTGGGAATTTGTGGTGGAGTGTTGTACTCATATGCCTGTGGGTATATTTCATGTGCTGTGTAATTGAATTACAATGTACAATTGTATTTAGTGATCTATTGTGAATGTGACGTGTCATGAGCGATGGACTATGTTACAGTCTGTGAGAGTGTGTGGTGACTGTTCGCGCTCGTTTGTGTGGTTTTGAATATTATGAGATAATATTGTTAAAGTGGGGGGCAGTGTCACAGAACGAGCGCTAAAAATAGGCGCGCCGCAAATTCTTGCGGTAACGCGCGGAAGAAACGCCGCGAAGTCAAAAGAAAAAAAAGGGAAAGAAAAAGAAAACAAACGGCCAAGGCTCCCCGGGCGCGCGCTCTCCCCGCAGAAGCGTGGCTTCATCGACGAACCTCCTCACCCCACAACAGCGGCCGAGCAAGCCCGCGATTTTTCTAGAACGAAGGAGGCGTGGCCACGCCGAGATGAGTCATCCGACGCGGAGGGCAGTCGAACCGTCTCACGCCTCTCCCCAGCCTTCGTTGCGCATCGCGCCGACGAAATGAGGAGAACTTTCTGGAAGGTGGCGCGGAAGGTATTTAATCGAGCAGCCGAGACGAGAAAGCAGGAGGAGACGGAAGTTAACGCCAGAGCGCGTAGGGATTCCGCCGTGTAGTCGGCGAAGGTTTTGGTCCGTAGGGACGAAGCCGGAGATGAAGAGGATTTCCACCTGAGGGGTGAAGGCTCGGGCTACAGGCAAGAGCGTGTGTTTACCGCTATCGAGCGAAGACCCGTGGCAACAGCTGCGGGTGTGAAGCCGACGTGTTCCGGCGAAGACGTTGAAGTTTGAAGAGTGGCCAATTGAAGACGGGAGGTTTCCTGGAAGAGAAACTTCGAGGGCGCGGAACGACAACAACGCTGGACTTTGAGTGAGTGATTCTCGGAAGAGTATCATCCAGACTTTCGTTCCAAGAACTTTGGACTGAATAGGTTTTATATCTCTTTAGTCTTTAAGTGTCTTGGTTGTTCAATGCATGCGACTGCATTGTAGTGCGTATTGTTGTCTGTGTCCGTTGTTTCAAGTGTGGTTGATTGTACTGTGTAGTACGTCGTTTGTTTGGTGACATATTGTATGCAACTATTGTGGGGTGTGCATGTTTGTGTATTGTTTCTGATCTGCCATTATTGAGAATATAATTTTGTTTGTTTATCAACTCTCGGCTCTGACTTGTTCTTTGGGCTACAGCCGGCGTCCGCTGGCGCGCCAAAAAGGACCACTTCTAAATTGTCCACGCTTTCGTGGTGCGGTTCGGGGGGCCGATACTTCGACCCTTGGAATTAGCACGGCGATCGCCTCCCTAAGTAACGGGACCGGTGTGACAGCAGTTCACGGTTTGTTCGTAAACAGCTTCTTGAGTACACCGCACTTTAGGCAAACACGTAAGAAAACGTCTTCATGCCCGTTTCAAGTCGCCTCTTACCTTTTAGAAGCCTCTGCTACGAATATTATAGTCAAGCTGGAGGTCCGTTGGCGCAAGGCCAGTCCTGGTGAGATCGAGGAGTAAAGGCAGAACTTCAGAAGCAGATGAAAGTTTGAAGCAATGAAAAAAAAATTTGAACAAGGGATATCGATGAAGACAACACTCAGGCAAGCGAACGTGTCTTCTTCTGTTGCAGCCTTGACGATAAGTCCGCTTGTCAAAACGTTGGTTCCAGTGGCACCCGATGTTCAAGAATTTTTCATCTCATAGAAACCCCCTTAAAGATCTCCAATTCATTTTCTTTGTCTCTCACTCATTTTGTTGGTTGTGACCATTTTAGGTTGCGAAAGTAAATATGTCTATAAAGAAACCCCCTTATTATCTGAATAATGAGCTTACATTTGTGCTGACCTGGTAGAAGTTTAATGCGGCGAGGCACCTGCCTTCCGTCCCGTTTCAAAGCGTGGACGTGCGCACTCAGTGAGTTATGCATTAAAGGGACACTCAAGTCAAATAACAATTTACATCAGAGTGAAAGATCAATTGTATGACAACATATAAAACAAAAATATTATCAAAAAAAGCGCCCTACTTTCCGAGAAATCAAGGTAAATGCACAAGAACACATGCGTCGCAGTAGGACATTCTCAAAATGATCCTGATGACATCAGATGGATCACCTACAATTATTCGCTAGTAATCAATCTAGCTGCGCTAAATAAAACTTCCGTGCATCAAGAGACGCAATAAAGTGCTGCTTGTTTGTTTCTGTTTGATTCTTAGAAAAAAGAACCGCCGGACGTTACTGTGGGGAACGGCTCCAGTGCTTAAAAAATTCAATTTTCGCGTAGTTACACTGGACAGGTGGTGTTATCTAGCGGGGCGCAGTTGAACCAAAAAACGTCTACAATCTTGGAGAGAATGGTGGGAAATTGATCAATGGCCGTTGCTGCTGCTGCGGCTCCCGCTGCCTTCGGTCTGCTGCTACTAGCACAGTGAAACCGGGCAACGTGTTGTACGGCAACAGTGACGTGAGTCGGCCCGGTCACTCCGCTTCTTGTGGCGGGTAACTTGAAGTGCGAAAACCCAACGTGGACCACTAAAACGTAATTTTATTTCAAAATAGGCCCTTCCTTGGCACAAAAGTAACACTACGAGGTTTCTGTGCCGCTATTTAAGCTATAAACGTTGACTTAATATATGCTTTTAGTGCACCTTTAAGCAACGCCATGTCCAAGCCTAATGAGTCCAGTTGCTTCCCAATGGCGGCACCTTCAGACGAAGTACATGGTATTTTGCAGATCCTGGCACACGCTGACCGCACGCACGTAATCATCGGTGGTGGCACTGTCTCCTCCTTCTGAACTAAAGCTGCTGCCACTCGAGACATTGCAAGCGCTAGCAATGTGCTCCTTGGCGCGGAAGGCAGCTAGGTGGGCGTAGTACACCGGCGCTGGAATGCTCACACTTTTGGTGCAGCGAGCGTATGTGTGGCAGAGGTAGTAGCTGAGCTTCTGCAGCTCGTCGGAAGTAAAACTTGTGTCGTCGTAGACGACGTAGTAATGCGCGGGCCTGCTCGTTCCCTGTATCCCGGCATGACTGCAGAGGAAGAAGTCGAAGTCGACCGGGTGGGTCACCACCGTGTCCACGGTCGTGCCGGGAGGAATGTTTAGCGGCCTACCCACGCCATCTTTTGGGTTGACTGGCATAAACCGAGTGTGGTGACGTTTCTGACTACGATAAACGTAACTGCAGGCTTGTACGAGCCATCGCGGCTGAGCATGAGGCAGGCCTCCCTGATGGCCGACAGTTCTTGGTCCCGCACGAATCCAAACTGGCCCTCGCTGACTCCGTCTCGGTAGAAGATGATCTTGCCTGGCTTATGTCTGGTCTCCCGATAAAAAGCCATGAGCAGCTCTTGAACCATCATCTGTGAAAAATATGGAGATTTATTAATGAATTAATCACGCTAGAAAGTGCCGTTTCGGGGCAAATACTATTTTCTGTTCAAGACGGTTTTGAACTTGCGTAAGAGCAGAACAAAACGAAAACACAAAGAACAGGCAAAGACGAGTGCTGGTTTTCGTCCATTTGTCTTGTACGGCGCTGTACACAAGTTGAATGGCAAGTATTAACTAGCCAGTACCAGTACTTTGCTTCAAAATTGTTAGTTATCATGGTTAAATGAGCGAACAAGAACACTATAGAAAGAAGTACTACGAATATTACGTCCATTCAAATAGTATTCTTTCCAGCGCAAAAAATGCATATTTTCGATGCAATCGCTAATACTACAACCCTCACTTTTTTTGCTTGCCAGTGACAGAGGTCACGTGACGTAGGCTGTTACATCACTTGATGGTTATGTCAGCGTATGAAGAATTATTCCTATGCAATCTAGTCTTTGCCTTTTTATACACCAGTTTGTCGGTGACACGTCCCCCAGCATCACTGAAAGATTATTGTTCCCAGAAATTTCAATGGACACCGACGGATTCGGTCGATTCCAATTAACTTTTTTTCAGACTTGACGAAAACTATGTATACGCTCTGACCTCCAAGTCTTCGATGATTTCCACTCGGGCGACTGCTTGTTGCTGCTGGATCTGGACACGAATAGAAGCCCGGTAGCGAGACGGGATGGAGTCCATGCTCGCGACACACGCAGCGATGGATGGTTTAACCCTGTTGGCAATATTAGAAAACCACCTGTTGTCCATGTAATCTAATACTCCAGCACTTCGCTAAATACAACAAATACTCTACAAGGAATGCTGCTTTAATTTTTCGAAGATTTGTTAGTGTGGTCAATTCTTGTAATTTTGAATACGCTAGGACCACGAGAGCTATTACTGCGATAGCAGTTATGTAAATATTCCCGGCTGGATTTTGCCGCTGGCGTCGACGTGGGCGTCGCCGTCACTCACCGTATATGTATACGTGTCTATATGTAAGAAAATTCAAGCAAAAAAATAAAAAAAAGACTCCAGCGCGCGGAATCGAACTTGGGTCCTCTGAAGCGTGAGTGCGAGGCGTTAACCACTGAGGAACACGTCCTTAAGCGTTCAAACGGCAAGCTATCTATATCTAGAACTTACCGCTGCTGACGGGCATCTCGGAGGGGGGGCTATCATGTTTTCAGCATTACCACAAAGATGACGCAATGAGCGCGCGTAGCAACGTCGTCATGACGCTGCGGCCATGCTCTCATCTCTCACGCGCACTTTGCCCCGCAAAGAGAAGGGGCTCGATGCTCACTCGCGCGCCCTTATCTCCCGGTAAGGAGGACCGTTCGTCTTGGCTGGCTTTCGGTTTTTGCCGGAGCGATTCTGTTTTTTACAGGCCGCACAAAGGTCACTGCAATCGTGGCGCAGTCAACGTTTGCGAAAAGAGCGCGCTTTTCAGATACAGCGAAGTTACAACTGAGACGCTAATTCGCGTTCATCTGTACCTGGGAGCATGTTTCGTGGGTCATTTGCGCGTGAGAAACGCGGGACACGTTTCGATCTGCTGGCCTTTCTGCGCGCGATCTTCCAATTTATTGCTACAGCGTTCAGTGCTTCGCCTTTGCGGCAAAGCTGTGACTTTTTTTTACCGTGAAACTTAATAGACCTGACTATCTTCACTGTAGCGAGAGCTTAGTGGATCTTTACCTTATAAAGCCCATCTACTATCTGCGTCAAATTAAACGCGAACGGCTTCAAGCCTTCTTTGTGGTACGGTGCGTGCCGTCCACTTAGCACCATGAACCGGTACGTATACATGCACAGAGGTGTCGAATAGGATGCGCGCGCCTGTCAATTGTGATAACTGGATGGCGCGCACTATACTATTGTGAAGGCTTGGCCTTGTTCTGGTTCTGACCAAACAGGGCCACGAATCTGACCAAGAGACGACGATGACGACGACACGCCAAGCACGAGATGGTTGCGCCTGTTCTTGGCGTCTGCTTAAGTGAATTCGAATAAATTACATATTTTGTGGAAACGTATGCCTAACGCCTTTGTTGCGAACAGAGAACCTTGAAAGTTTGTCATTTAGCGTCGAAAGGTGGAATGAAAAAATGTTACGCATAGCGCTAAGATTCAACACCAAGTGGCCGCGACCAACATTTCTGCTCGCTTTGAGCAGAATAAGATAAGGCCGAGAAGGCAATGAAGCCAATAATTAGTTGTGTTACAGAATGAATGCCAACAAATTAAGTTGTAGACGGCATAACAATAGCGACGCGATAAATGCGCGCGTATAAGCTTGAATAAATTGGCAAATAATATGCATGAATGAGGAGATCACTTCTAGGGGGCTCCCTATTGTAATGGAGTTGCCAAGCTGACAATTACGCTTGAAACCTGGAGATATGATGGCCTCCGAGCTACGCTACCCTCGTGTGCACACTGCGCCCGGTTACTGGAGAGATGATCTGTGCCCAACCGCAAACGTCCCAGCAGGAATAATTGTATACATTACGTTAAGGGCAGACCACACCTTCTACGCCCTTTCCTGCAGTTCAAGGAACTTGGCATCCTGATTTTAATACGAAGGTGGCGCTATCCATGTAGCTGGACAAACAGCGGTATTAAGTAATTTGTTACAGTTACTGCGACTCTATTAAAGCATACCATGCAGCGTAATCAAGGCTTGACTACTAATTAAGTGATGTCCTCATACGTGTTATGGATAGGTCATGTCATTAGTGACTTGATTTTTATGCCGAAAAATGAGTTCAGTTTCATGAAACTCGGAGTAACATCAACAGTTTTTGTCATGAGCAGCTCGGTGAGTATTGCTCGATGCTTCTATAAACGCGTAGTATTCTGTTGAAATGCACGTCGGCCAATCCGAAAGATGCGTCAAAAATCAGCTAACAGAAAACGACGCAGCTATATAAGTATCAAGCAGCTCTAGTGTAGATGTTCATTGTAAAAGCTGTTAATTTTGTTGCATTTCATAGGACAGATTATTTTTTGGCGCTAATATGCCTGCTTATTCAAAAACTTAATATTTTCTCGCGTGTTTAAGAAAAAAGAAATTATTTTCACCCTAAGAAGGACGTTAGTCGCGAGATAGTGGAATGGTGACAGATTAGAAACAAGAAACGTTGTCCTATTGATCAAGCCACAATTACGCTATACGATAAGGAGTACGCTTTTCTAGGGAGGTAGCGATTGTGATAACTAATAATTGAGAGGATGTAACGTCTCAGTTTTATGACGAACCCTACACAATTGTTTTTCATTTGCGTCTTTCTCGGTTACAAACGTGCGATGTTTTCTGTATTTGCTTTAATGAGAGTGAGCACCTGGTCCTACAACGCCAGTTTGGCTAACTGCGACACTGGTGGATAATTTTAGGTCGCACTAAATGTGAGAATCGCACTTTAAAATGTTTTACTTGATGCGTGCAACTACATCTGATTAGGAGCATTTAAAATGTAGCAGCTAATCTGCACTCTTTAGGTGGATACTGCATTACGAACAACGTTCATTTACTTACTTATCACCTGGTGCTGGATGACTCACATCGGCGCCGATGATGATTACGGGCTCGCAGAGGACACTTGGCCTCTCTCTCTCCACGAAACTGTTATTCGTGCCACCAAGTTTAGCATTGATCTTCAAACACAGATTGGCTATCAATGAATCCGTGCACTTCGTCGTGAAATTGAATTCTTTCATACACTGGGTGAGGATGCCCAGCTTGACTTTAGCCGCCTCTTTGACGGCCGCGTAGGACGCCTGCTGTCCGAGTATGACGACGACCAGCACAATGCCTCTGGACTTCAATCGCTCAAGAACTTGGGAGATGTCCCTGCTGTCACAGCTGTCCACGCATAACGGCCGACTTACTCTCATACCCATATTACCGCCAATTCTCTTAAGCACGCCTTCGAGATTCTCAACGTTTCGTGGATGGGGCCGGCAATTCACACCGAGAAGGGCCCAGTTTTCAATGGGTTTCGCATCAAAGAGTTTACTGTTTCTCATGTCCCAGGAACCATATCTCGGTCGCACTGGCGGCTGCGCGTCACCAAACATCAGAGATGGCGCATCCAGAACACGGCCGTTGAGGCGCGTCGGGTCGGTGCTCACTTTGATACCAAACTCGTTCAGGCATGGCGCGCTCCTTTGCACCAAGTCATGAACTGACTGTGTGATAGCCTGAAAGCGTTGCTCGGGTGGTTGTGCGGTGCGCCGTATCACTTCCGTGGTCATCGAGCCGCTCAATTTTTTCCTGTAAGGTTGTCCCTCCACGATGTGGCAGACTTCAAGCGGTAAATAGATGGGTCTATTTGTGTCTGGTTGAATGCAAGGCAAGTTAGGGTAACGGATGAAGTTTGGATAGTTCTTTCGAAAGTACTCCGCCACTGAAACCTTGCTTCCTTTTTGGAAGGAGGAATGATTGTCACGTCGTAGTGATAAACGTCCCCGTCTGGCAATTGAATCGCAAAGTGGTTTGCCAGAAGTTCAATCGGGCGTCCCAACTTTCCATGCTTATCTGGCCGTACAGGAAATGTTGTCTGCCGTGGGACTACGGCCTTTTCTGGAGCAGCGGGCAAAGTTTCCTCGAGAGCGCCCATGTCCATAGGCTGCCGAGAAGGTCCAGGTACCACGTGCTGTCGCTGAGGCTCGCGTGCCACTTGCTCCGCGACAGGAGGAGGTGCTGTGCTTCTGACATGTCCACGACCAGCGCCGCCTCGCTGTGGTCGCGCCTGAGTAAAAAGTTCACTTGTCATGCTTTTAAATGAGCCGAAAAATAAGCAGCAATTTGCTAGTAAATGTCTGGAAAAAATAAACGGCGAGCAGGATAGCCTCTACACGAAAAACTAATTTCATGCATCTAAAGCAAAGTTAGCAAAAATAATTCACACACAACCAATGAGAGCCACCTTCTGACTTCGCGTTGCCGCCGTCACACCAGTGCACGCACGTACACCCCCCCCCCCCCCCACACACGAAATAGCAGGAATAAAGCGGCCTTTCTAGAATTCGTTTTAAACTGGCCTAAGGCAACTAATGCATGTACACGAGCAGGGTTCATCATAGTGGGAGTGGCGACGCGTTCGGAAGACATGACCAATAAATTGTAAACACACAAGCAGACGAGGACATAAAAAGAACACGTCAGGCATCATAATTATCAAAAGCATGACTAATTATCAAAAACATGAAATGCAGCTGCTATATACCTTCCCATCGGGGGATACCAATATACCCCAAAAGGAAGGTAAGTAAACAAGTACCAAAAGGAACGCTAACTGCTCTTTATTGATATCAGAAGAATACAGTATATTGTCCCAGGTAATGGGTATGAGCTATCAACTGTAGCGTGAAATCGCTTGGAAGTAGAGAAAGAAGAGAACATTGCTTCCTGGCCGGGGGGGCTAGCGAGATGTCGATTCGTGGCTGTCTGTTGTTTCGTTCGTGGCACTGGTGGAGGGGGCGGGGTAAATGCGCCTCGGCTCCAGATTATCAGCCGACACACAGCTACAGCTCCCACGGCAAGAAGCAGTCGCCGCCTGCGAGGAATATCTCCCGAATACGGTCCTCTCTCTCAAGATGAGATGGCAACCTCGACTACCAAGCAGGCGAGTCAGACGAATGACGTCTATTCTTTTCTCCCGCATATTTTCATGCGCCGCAAACACCACACTCATTTCATGGAGACATTTATGAGGATGTTGATGACTGGCTTGACCACTTCGATCGAGTGGCCAACATCAACGAATGGGGTGAAGCTCGCAAGCTGCGGAGAGTTTACTTTGCGTTGGAAGACTTTGCCAAACGTCGTATGAGAATCACGAGCGTTCCTTTGCGACGTGGCAAGAGTTCAGCCAACAGTTTCGTGATGCATACCGCAGCGCCAAAAGGAAAGAGAGAGCGGAGCAGGCCATCTCGTCTTGGAACCCATGACCTAACGAAAGGGTTTCGATGTTTGTCGAGGACATGCTTCGACTCTTCAAGCCTGCCGACCCTGCAATGTTCGAGGAAAATAAGGTGCAGCATTTAATGCGTAGGGTAAAAGAGCAGCTCTTCGCCGGACTCGTGCGCAATCCACCGATGACTGTGGCTTAGTTCATAAATGAGGCAACCACAATAGAGCGTACTCGCCAGCATCGGTCGTCACAGTATGAACGCCACGACGTCACCACTGCTGCATGCTCTATCGGGGCTGACAGCGAAAGGCATGCCCTCGCAGAGTTCATAAGAAGCGTCGCACGGGACGAGCTACGCCAACTCCAAGAAGCGGGACCCCAACCACCCGTAAATGCTCTCGCAGACTTAATCCAAAAGGACATCCGACAGGTGGTCACGCCACTCGCGCCAACAAGGCCTGAGGCCCCTGTGCTGACTTATGCGGTGGCCCTGCGATCTCCTGCACCACATGCTCCAGATCCCACTATGCGGACAATAGATCAGGCTAGCCGTCAATTCGAGGGCACCTCTTCGACTCCGCCAACCGCCTCAAGGTTTCCGAGTGCACCCACTTATCATCCGTCTGGATCGCGACAGAACGCCACAAAGGCCAGCTTGTGGCGTACGTCAGATAACCGTCCACTCTGCTACCACTGTGGCGAAGCGGGTCACATCTACCGCAATTGCCAGTACCGCCAACTTGGTCTCCGTGGCTTTCACCATGATGCTCGGTGCCCGCGTTACGGTGAGCGTCCCCGCGACATCGAAGCGTACCTTACGGGCCAGCAAGCTCCTCGCCTTGGTCAACGCCCCCAATCACGATCACCATCCCCTCTCCGCTCCACGTCACGTAGCATTCCCTCGTCATCTTATGCTCCTTTCAGAGGCCGGACATTGAGTCTCCACAGGGGAAACTAGAAACCGCGGTTCCTGGGGATGAAGCCGCGTCCCAACGAACTGTCAAAGAGCCTCCCTCGACGCAAGGACCCGACGAAGACCGTTCTGACTTTCCAGTCGTTTCCGAAAGTCATAAGACTGTTTCCGCCGACATCACCGTACACGACAATAATAACGTCGTCACTGCCCTCGACGACACCGGCGCCGATTATTCGGTTATGAGCAGCGTCCTGACATCCAAAGTGAGGAAGGTAACTACCCCTTGGCAAGGACCCCCGTTGCGCACGGAAGTGGGCCACCTTGTCACGCCGACTCGAATGTGCACAGCCCGTGTTCGAGTCCGTGCTTCGACGTTCACAGGGTCTTTCCTCGTATTACCTGTGTGCTCCCGTCCACTCATTCTGGGACTGGACTTTCTTCGTGAACACGGCGCAATTATTGACCTACGAGACTTGCAGGTGTCATTCGAGGACCCGTTTCATCCTGAACCGAAAAACACCCACTTATCGAAGGCTGCCCTGCGTGTATCCTCCGAATCTGAATCTGTTACTCTGCCTCCCCGCAGCAGTATCTTTATCAGCGTAAAATGTGACCAAAGCGTCCCCGATGCTGTAATTGCGGAAGGAAATTTGTCCCTACTTTTTGCACAAGAAATCTGCGTTGCCCGAGGTATTATTCAGCCCAGGAGGAAGCAGGCTTACCTATTAGTCACGAGTTTCACCGAGGAGTATTGATATCTTACCATACACACTGCGATCGCATACCTTGAGGATATTTCCGGCGTCCCTGGTCCCTCAACATTATATGCCCTTTCGTCATGCGACCATTTCGCCATGACATTCGCAAGCACTCTCGACGTAAACCAGGGTGTACCGTCCGCACAAAGGGAAAGTCTTTTGAAGCTACTCGACTCATTTCGGGACTGCTTCGATACGACTTCGAAAGTGAACCAAACACCGCTTGCCAAGCATCGTATCATCCCCGAGCCTACCAAGAGACCCATTCGACAGCACGCCTACAGAGTCTCGCAAAAAGAACAAGACGCTATACGCCAACAGGTCCAGCAGATGCTCAAGGACGATGTCATCCAGCCATCCACCAGTCCCTGGGCATCCCCTGTTGTGTTAGTAAAGAAAAAAAAAAGATGGTACCCTGCGATTTTGCGTCGACTAACGAAAGTTGAATAAGATGACGAAGAAAGACGTGTATCCTTTACCAGGAATAGATGACTCACTGGACCGCATTCGCAACGCTCGTTTCTTTTTTTTTCATGGATCTACGCAGCAGCTATTGGCAAATATCTGTTGACGGCCGCGACCGCGAAAAGACCGCCTTCATTACTCCTGACGGACTCTACAAGTTCAAGGTCCTTCCCTTTGCCTTATGCTCGGCGCCAGCTACATTACAAGAAATGATGGACACAGTTCTTTCTGGGCTAGAATGGCAATCGTGTCTTGTCTACCTTGACGATGTGGTCGTCTTCTCGGACACGTTTGAGCAGCACGTCCAGCGCTTACAGACAGTTTTTCAGGCGAATCGAACAACTGGACTTTCTCCGAAACCTGAGAAATGCCACTTTCTTTTCGAAGAACTGAAGTTTCTTGGCACACGCCGGTATACACCCAGACCCCGAGAAAACGAAAGCTGTTGCCGCATTTCCTGTCCCAACGAACAAGCGCGATCTCCGCCGATTTCTGGGACTGTGCGCATATTACAGACGCTTCATCAAAGGCTCTTCTAAAATCGCTGAACCGCTAAATGAATTTACAAAAGACGGCGTACCGTTTGTTTGGGGTCATGATCAGCATCACGCCTTTCACACGCTACGAAACCATCTCCAAGCCCCACCTGCACTCGGTCACTTTGACGACAACGCTGCCACAGAGCTACACACGGATGCCAGACACGTCGGACTTGGAGCTGTATTGGTTCAATGGCAAAATGGCGTAGAGCACGTGATTGCCTATGCAAGTCGAACACTATCATCCACAGAAAAAACTACTCTGCAACAGAAAAAGGATGCTTAGCCATTGTTAGGGCTATAACAAAGTTTCGGCCTTATTGGTACGGTCGACCATTCAGGGTAGTTAGCGACCACCATTCTTTATGCTGGCTCGCCAACCTCAAATATCCTTCCGGTCGTCTAGCACGGTGGATCCTTCGGCTGCAAGAATTTGACGTTACAGTCATTCACAAGTCAGGACACGAACACACCGACGCTGACTGTCTCTCACGTGCGCCAATTGGAAGTACGAACGCGGACGTTGAAGTGGACGATACATTCCTTTCCTCTGTATCAGCAACCGACTTAGCTCAATAGCAACGCGACGACATGGAGCTAAGCCCGCTGATTGACTACCTCGAAGGCCGAAAAAGCAGTCTTTCTCGAAACTTCGCACGTTCGCTGGCCTCGTTCTGCATCAGGGATGGAGTCCTCTATAAGAAAAAATTCGACCATACTCAGGCTACTTACCTACTGGTTGCGCCGACCTCGCTTCGGGACGATATTTTACATGCTTATCATGACGAACCATCATCCGGACACCTTGGCTACACGCGCACATTGGAAGAATTCGCCGCTCATACTACTGGCCCCGCCTCGCGAAGACAGTCAAGCAGTACGTCCGCACATGCCGTGACTTGCAACGTCCGTAAGATTCCACCTGTCCGACCAGCAGGACTACTACAGCTTATCGCCATGCCGAAAACACCCTTCCTGTCAAATCGGCATTGACTTGCTCTGATCGTTTCCCATGTCATCGTCTGAAAACCGGTAGATTGTGGTTGCCACCGATTACTTAACGCGTTACAGAAAAACAAAGGCCCTGCCCGAAGCTACCGCAGCCGAAATTGCCCAGTTTTTCGTCACCAGGATCGTACTTCGTCACGGAGCGCCAGCTGTGATAATTACTGATCGTGGTACAGCTTTTACCGCAAAGATGCTTCAAGAAGTGCTGAGACTAAGTGGTACAGAACATCGGAAAACCACGGGTTATCACCCCCAAACAAACGGACTCACTGAACGGTTGAACAAGACCATTGCAGATATGCTGTGAATGTATGTGGCCGTTGACCACAAGAACTGGGATGATATACTCCCTTGCGTAACTTTTGCTTACAATACAGCAGTCCAAGAGAGTACAGGTTTCACCCCATTTCGCTTAGTTCATGGTCGAGAGCTCACTACAATGATCGACGCAATGCTCCTTCCCAACAACCTGGGCATGTTCAACGCGGACGCTGCCTTGTTCGCTCAACGCGCCGAGAAGGCCCGTCAACTCGCCCGACGCCGTATTCAGGCTCGCCAAACTGCCGACGCACGCCGCTACAACCTTGCACACCGAGAGCTTACCTTCCAAGCAGGCGATGAAGTTTGGGTGTGGACCCCCATCCGACAGCGTGGTCACTCTGAAAAGTTGCTGCGGCGCTACTTCGGCCCGTACAAAGTTCTACGCCGACTCAGTGACGTTACATACGAAGTTCTCCCTGAGAGCACCTCAAGACGTTCCCGTCGGTTTCCACAAAGTGATGTGGTGCATGTGTCAAGGCTCAAGCCATATTTCTCGCGTCATCAATCGAACGTGGACTGACTTACCATGCCGCCCCACCGCGGTGGTCTAGTGGCTAAGGTACTCGGCTGCTGACCCGCAGGTCGCGGGTTCGAATCCCGGCTGCGGCGGCTGCATTTCCGATGGAGGCGGAAATGTTGTAGGCCCGTGTGCTCAGATTTGGGTGCACGTTAAAGAACCCCAGGTGGTCTAAATTTTTCGGAGCCCTCCACTACGGCGTCTCTCATAATCATATAGTGGTTTTGGGACGTTAAACCCCACATATCAATCAATGAATTACCATGCAATGACAATTTTTGTCACTTTTGTTTCTTTTTGATTGTCTTGTGTCCTAACTCCTTTCCTTATTGAGTACGTCTATGACACCAGCCCATTTTTTTCGCCTTACGACGCTGTTGTTAGAATCCATGGTAGCATCTTTTCGTTCTCATTTTTTTCAACGCTCATCATCAGCATCGAGACGATGCTTTTCGAGGAGAGGGAATAATGTCACAGGTAATGGGTATGAGTTATAAACTGTAGCGTGAAATCGCTTGGAAGTAGAGAAAGAAGAGAACACTGCTTCCTGGTCTGGGGGCGAGCAAGACGTCGATTCGTGGCTGTCTGTCATTTCGTTCGTGGCAATATTAAGAGCACGAGTGACATTACATGACGATGGCGCTGGAGGTAGAATACGATACAATTACTGGATTTGCAGGCGGCATAACGTTTTGGGAGATGGAGCGATCAACCGCTTAAGGCACATTTATCACCCTAACTATTGACCTTATCAGCTTCGAGAACTTCCCACGAGAATTTAATTCAGCTTCTTATGACAATGGATGCACTTTTTATATATCGGTACGCAGTTCTTTTTCACATGAACATCTACACCCAGATCAGAATTGAAAATAATATCAAAACCATCAGTGCCATCACATTTCTGTAATGTATATCGTCGAACCTTCAGCACGTCTCCTCCAGAATGTTCCCTGAGGCGATCGTTTACGCTCGTCATACTTCATGCTACCTAAGTTCTGCCCCACGAGAAGATAAGCTGTACACAACTACTTCAGCACAATCGGCAAACGTCTCTTTATTATTTTTTAGGAGCGAAGCTCCTTAAGGCGTGGGCTGTGCGTCCCCTGTATGTAGCCACCTCTCGTTCAGTTCTAAGTATTACGCTAGCCACCGCCCGATCTAAAGGGTACAGCCATATCCATCCGTCCGTCCATCCATCCATCCATCCATCCATCCATCCATCCATCCATCCATCCATCCATCCATCCATCCATCCATCCATCCATCCATCCATCCGTCCGTCCGTCCGTCCGTCCATCCGTCCGTCCGTCCATCCGTCCGTCCATCCATCCATCCATCCATCCATCCGTCCGTCCGTCCGTCCGTCCGTCCGTCCGTCCGTCCGTCCGTCCATCCATCCATCCGTCCGTCCGTCCGTCCATCCATCCATCCGTCCATCCGTCCGTCCGTCCAAAAGATGCAAGATGTTATAAACTAGACGGCGGTACGTGTAGTTGATTATGAAAGATGCGAGGTGTTATAAAATAGGAATGATGCCACGTATGGCGCGTGTCATCGTTCGATATAGTGCGGCGACGTACGCTAGGGGGAGCGTTGCAATAAAATCGAGTGGGCAAAATGTACGGAGGATTCATGGTTTACCAGGTTTACCTCCGGAGCTTCGCCCACTCATCATCATTCACTTCGTGGATATGGCGGCATTTTTTTTTGCACAGTGGGTTCTGCACGGCACTGAGGTTCTTGTTCCCCAGTTCTTGATGTTTGTCAGGAGCCGAAAAAAAACTACTTTGACATTCCCCTTTTGCCCAATGTTAATTATTTAGTCGATGGTAAACCACGAATTTCAGGAATAGCTGCAAGGTTCTGTGGGCCAGTGACACCTTTCGCCGCATGAAAGCTGTTTTGCCGAAATGTTTTACTGGATGCCATTAGCGACATTAACTAGTAAATGAGTTGGGTAACCGGAATGAGATAGCTGGAGTGTTTTTTCATGGAAACTGGTGCCCAATAGTTCCGGAGAGGATTTATGAAATGCATGAAAACGGCATTCGTAACCAATTTTCATAGACGGAGGCATATGAGAGCATTGGCAAATGGGCACCAGGCTCGTAATTCACCATCTTCTCAAAAATAAAACATGAATTCTAAAGAATTCAATAAGATATTTGGTGTCATTTAATAGCTTATTTCAAGCGGCGCTATGCCTAGTCGTACAAGAGTTAGAAAAGTTACTGGCTAGTGATGTAAGAGAGTCAATACAGCATTTAAAAAATTTATGAATAGTATTTTGATTGATATAGCATTTTTTTTTGTTTTGAAACTCTGTCGCAAAGCCGATGGATATCCGCGAACGTCACCGAACTGAAGGGCATATAACGTTGCTTCCTTTTCTGGTCGATGATGGCATGTAAGCGTGCTGATAAGCGGCCGCTACAAAAGAGCACTATGCACTATGCACTTGCCCCTGTTTTAAAGGAGTAACAACGCTAATGTGCAGTCGCATTCAAGAACAGTGACTTCGAAAATGTTATGTGGCCACTAGATCTTAGCAGATAAATATAGTCCCTCGATAGGTTTTCTTTTCACAAAACTGCCACCTCACTTTGACAGAGAGCTAGAAGCGTCTACTAGGGGCGCCATAGTAAAAGATGGCTTCCCAGTGGAGCGAGTGGCTGCAGTATATGGCGACGTCTGTATTCTTTATTCTTTGGCATGTCGCGGTTAAAGGCCTTGCACTTTTAAGTGTGAATACACTTTATAAGCGACCCCAAACCATCCACCGCCGTCGGCGGCGTCCGCAGTCTTCTCTCTATCTTTAAAAGAAAGAGGACTTGGCGGGCCGCAGCGCGACGCTCTACCGAATAAGCCACGGACGCGACGCTGATATCGGTGTCAGTAACGCGCCTTATACCCCCTCCCCCTTCGCTCGCTCCTCCGCTCTCCTCGCTCGCTGCAGCTGCGCGCGCACCCCTCTCTCTCGCGCGTCCGCCTTCTCTCTCAGTCTCCCGTCGAGAGCGGGTCGTGAGGGGGAGTAAGGTTAAAATCCGTTGGCATTCGCCAGTGAGTTAACGTAAACTCCCCCGTGTGATCAAATTGCGATTCCCAGGAACCATTACACCATGAAGGCACCATAGTGTGATTAATAAATATAATAGTGCGAATTAATAAATACCCCTCATAGCATCACCCCGTGTATTCGCACTTAACCATGTTCACCCTCGGGGAAATCTTGGGAGTTTTTTAGACAAAATTTACATTCTTTTTTGCCATAGCGGTTATACGAACTAAATTTGCAACTTCCTAAAATACTTCTCACCGAAGGCAACATCGATACAAAAAGTTCAATATCTCAAGTTCCGCTAGTGACTCACTGCGTGGGCAGACGATGAGCATAGACATTTTGTTACAGAAAAGATCACTTTTAGTTCGTCACACATAAACAAAACTGTGCTCGAATGTGATACGCTATACAGAAAAGGAGACATCGCCGTAGAATATTTTACAGCGCCAAGGGTTTGATACGAACAGACAAGGGACGCAGCGCTGAACTCGCAACTGGAATTCATTTGGAAGGGGACCTGGGTTCGAAAGGAAAGAACATGTAGAGAGAACATTGACTCATCAAAACTGTGCGCATGTGCAAATGTCCCCTCCCTATCCGTATCTAACCCGTTGCGCAGTAAAATATTAGCCCTATGGGCCATTAATCTGCTGGACAATCAATAAAGTTTTTTCTATCCAGCCATCCATACGTAGTTTGAAGACATGTAACCTCCTATAAAAACAAATACCACATGATTTCCTTGCCAGGGAGAGATTTAATTGGCCTACCCCATTATGAACGGCTATCTTGACAACAGGCCAGACATCATAAGAGCTCGAGACAGGCCTGATGCCTACCCAGACCATCTTGGAGCATCTGGCAAGACTAGGCAATAAATATTCAGTTCAGGCAGCCTGCGTTACATGAAAGCGTATGGCTTTCCTTCCGCACTCCACTCCCACATCGATAAGGTGTGGCTGCGTTGTCTGCCTGTTTTACCTGTATTGGTTGTTCAGCTTGAGCAGCTCTCCGACGCATGGCTTCAATAAAAGACGCTTCCTCCTGTCTCCCTGGCTGAGAAGCTGGCGGAGGCTCATGTTGGCCATCTGAAAGCGCACAAAAAATAAGTAAACAACAAGATAATTAGTTGCAACCATCATACTAATTATTGGCAGTAACGTCTTTAAGAACTCCAGTGGAGTATAATAATTTCTCAATTAGCGGCACAGAGCGAATGAGAATAATTGCCCAATGACCTCGAGTGTGCGGAAGTGCATGACTGGAATATTCTTTCGAAGCCAAATAAAGCAAAAAAAAAAAAAAACAAAACAAACAGAACTAAACGTTATTGAACAGCTAGGACAGTTGTGTTTCAGACCTGCGCGGAAAGCTCAGCACAGTCACAGCGAAAGGTGGAAGAGCGCCATTTCTTTAACCCGTTGCAAACTATCTTGCGGCCACAGTACGAGTTTGCTTGCAAGGTACCCACTACATTGAATGATTCGGTGACCGATGACGATGAAAGATTTTGACTAGCCCTTTGCAAAAGACAGGAAGCGTTCGGCGACTCACTACTAACACAATTCGCAATGTGCGACGTCTATAGTCGTTATTTTACTCTTATACCAATATATTGCGCATGTAAACGCGTTTCTTTCCCGACGTAAAGCTTGTATAGGTGCTTGTGCACAGCAGTTTCGAGCATCGGCATGGCTAGGAGGTAGAAGACTGGGCTATTACGGAGCAGACCCAGGTTAGAACCCTGTATTAGACACTTTTTTTTGCTTATTTCGTGCGAGAGTGGTTAAGGGCACCGACGGTGACGGATAACTACTCCGCGGCGTTCTTGTTGTGATATACCAGCTACCGCTGGAATATATATATACAGATATATATATATATATATATATATATATATATATATATATATATATATATATATATATATATATATATATATATATATATTCACGCTTCCGTGGCATCGCTGATGTACTGGTCGTTGCGATGGTGGCCCTTACCAATGTGACACGTGCAATGAAACCGGCCTGGCCAGTTGCCTCGTTTCAGATGCAACTGTGAGCTGCACCGGCATGACATCATCCGCAGGCGTAGTAGGCACTTGAGACGTTTTTAGGGAGACGGCACTTGCCAAGTGACGAGTGTCTACGCACTCTGCCAATGACTGCGAAAGTGGCAGGTGATCAGGTGGCTCCTGACTGCGGGCCGAACCGGCCGTTGTGACTTGTGCCTCGTCTGCGGCTGGTTTTGAGGGAGCCGTGGCATGGCTCAGTGGTTGAATGCTGTTATCTCAAATTGGGACCAAGTTCTCCCGTTCGTCACTCCGCGTATAATACTGCCGTACAAGCTACTACTGGGTTTTCGCCATACTTTCTTTTGTACTGACGAGAACCTTCAAATACAGTAGACACTATTCTTCCATATAAACCTTATGAGTCCGAAAGTACAACTCTGTCCGAAGCTGCCCGACATGCTGAAGAATGGCGCCAGCTTGCTCGCTCTTTTTCTACCGAGGACCAGTGGCAGCAGCAATCCCGCCAGACTGGGGACCGTTCGGCTTCAAACTTTCCACCTGGTTCATTGGTATGGCTTCGGGCACCTGCTACCGCGCCTGGCCGCTCCGCAAAACTTCTTCCCAAATACATCGGGCCATACCGCGTAGTAGAGCAAACGTCACTCGTCAACTATATCGTGGAGCCCATCATCCCATCCACAGACCTACGCTACCGCGGCCGCGACACTGTCCACGTTTCTCGTCTCAAGCCATATTACGACCCATTAGTTGTTTGTTTTCCGTAATCCGCCAGGATGGCGTCTTTTTGTGCGGAGGGCGATTGTAGTGAAGAAGAAGAGCTTCTGCGGCATTTCTTGGCGCATAAATGGCATCGTCATCAGCATAAGCTCGTGCTTGCTGCACTTGGCCGGACGCTGCTGACTGCTTCACTTTCTGCGTTCTGCGCTGCAAATAAACCCCGTTACAAGATATATATATATATATATATATATATATATATATATATATATATATATATATATATATATATATATATATATATATATATATATATATATAAGTCAAGTAGATCCTCCAAGAGAACGGTAACAACGGAAGTGTTTAATTCGACAGTTTCGGCCAGAGTCTGGCCTTCATCAGGAGTCATGGTACATTCTGTTTGCGCTCACATTTATAGTATTTTGGGTAAAAAATGAGAGGGAAGGAACGAAAAAAAAAAAAACAGAAAGAAAGAAAGAGTTTGAAAAACGAGAGAGGAAAGGATATCCAGAAAGTTCCAGGTTCCACTGTGCTTCGCGAGTGGCGTCGTCAGTGTGTATTTTCTTAGTATTGCGTTCAGTGCAGTTTGGTGGCGGTCCCTTTATTGTAGACGGGGCCTGGCTAAGGTAAGGGCTTGCGTGTCGCGAAAAATGCTTTTTTTATTATTATTTTTTATTTTTTATTTTTTAAAGACCGTCACTAATTCGGCGTCGGGGACAGCGTTCCGAGGCTCCAGGAAGTCGGCGCGGGAGAAAATGTTTCTTAAGGCGCTGTCTGTCGTTTTGAATGCTATTTTGCTCTGCGAATCCGCGTTTGGGGGTTTTAATTGTGTGTGGGGTGGCCCTTCTATATGTCGGGCTTTGTTGTCGAAATGCGGGAAGGGTTTCCAAACTGCGAGAAAGGACGTTTGAAGTGATTGCTATTTTGTACTGGGAAACCGTGTTCGGGGCGTTTAGTTGTGTATGTGGATGTCGGGCTTTGTTGCCAAAATCGGGGAAGGGTTGCTAAAAGGCGAGAAGGGGCGTTTGAAGTGATTGCATTTTGTTCTGGGAATCCACGTTCGGGGCTTTTAGTTGTGCATGCGGTGACCCTTCGACAAGTCGGGCTTACAACTATTGTTCGGTTATTCAGAGAAATAGAAATAGACGACAGTGGTTCACTGAAACACGCAAAGATATTTGTAGTTGTCCAGTCCTCGTCGCCGCCACAGTGCCGCGAAATCTTGAACTGTTATGATTACAATTATAAACTTACATATACACACATACACCCCCATACATATGCGCATATGCATAAGTACATATACACATATAAATGCATATGTATATATTATAGTGCTTTGATTGCTGCAAGTGTACCCGGACTTTCATTTATGCCTTTTTCGAGGGTGTTAAATCGGTGTATGAGGTATGATTCACGTTGTTCACGTTCCCGGTTTGATTTAAATCCTGTTTCTAAAAGTGTGACTGACAATTTGTCGAAGGAGTGGCCGGGAAGGTTAAGGTGTTTTGATAGAGGTAGATTCGGCGCTGATTTCGCGTGGGCTCTGTGATTATTGAAACGAATCCTAAAGGGTGTTTCCGTTTGTCCGATGTATTGCATGCCGCACACGTTGCATTCAAGTAGATATACCACATTAGGGGAATCGCATGTTAGATTTCCTCGTATGTTAATTGAAAAGTTGGATTGTGTGCTGCTTGCCTTGCTTGTATCTCGCATCGCTTTGCATACAAAACATCGAGGCTTCAGACAAGGTCGGCATGAACTGTCGGAAGTTGAAGTATTGATTTGGGAGTTTACAAGTGTGTCTTTGAGGTTGCGTGTTCGTCGGTAAACGACGCCAGGAGCCGATGGGAATGCACGTTTTAGACGTTCACTTTGTTCCAGTATGTTGTAATGTCGTTTAAGGATTTTGTTAACGTTGGGGAAATTCGTGCTGTATGTTAAACATAGGTGTGTCTGTTGCAGGTTGTGTTGTGGTGGCCGCTTCATCAGAAGGTCATCACGCTGAAGTTTTCTAGCTTTTTGAATAGCGTCATCAATTACATGTGGAGGATATTTCTGTTTTTCGAGCACGAGTTTAAGCTTTTGTGAGCTCGCGTGGAAGTCAGTGTCTTTTGAGCAAATTCGCTTAAAACGGTGGGCCTGGCCGTATGGAATGCTGTTTTTACAATGGCGTGGATGATCACTTTGGTAATGGAGGTACTGTTGTCGATCTGTTGGTTTGCGGTAGAGGGTTGTGGAAAGTTTATCATCTTCTATTATTATGGTAACGTCAAGGAAATTTACGGTTACTTGTGAGTAGGTGTGTGTGAAGTGTATGTTTGGATGCACAGTATTGTAAGTATCGATAAAGTTTAGCAGTTCATCCTCGCTGTGAGTCCAAATAAGAAAAATATCGTCAATGTACCGCCTGTATAGGAGTGGTTTCAAGGGAGTTTGGGACAAAAATTCGGTTTCTAGTTCTCCCATAAAAATGTTAGCATAGTTTGGTGCGAGTTTGGTACCCATGGCGGTGCCGCTGATTTGTCGAAAGTACTCTTGGTTGAACTCGAATGAGTTCAGTTCTAATACAAGTCTTGTGAGGCTTGCGATGGCAGAGAAATCTGGGGTGTCAGGTTGTCTATGGTTTGTGTATGTGTTTTTTAATGCCGCTATGCCATCATCGTGGGGAATATTTGTATAAAGTGAAGACACATCAAGGGTAACTAAGTATGAGTGTTTCGGAATGCGCAGGTCTGCAATATCTCGAAGAAAATGTGAGGTGTCTTTTACGTACGACCCGAGAGTGCACGGAATGTGGCCTATTAATTTGTCTACGTACCCTGATATGGGCTCGGTTACTGTGCCTATACCTGAAATGATTGGTCGGCCTGGATTACCGGGTTTATGAATTTTTGGGAGTATGTAGAAGCGCCCTGGACGAGGGTGTACTGGCCGCATTAATTTGTGCTCACTGCGTGTTATTCTTCCCTCGTCCAACAGCTTCTTCAGTTCTGTTGCTACAATACGCGTGTATTTCTCTGTCGGGTCCCCTGGGAGGCGTTCGTAGAATTTTAAGTCGTTTAGTTGACGGTATGCTTCTTGTAGGTAGTCGGTTGTATTTAGGACTACAATTGCCCCTCCTTTGTCAGCGGGCTTTATTATTATATCAGTCCTAGATGTTAGGTTTTGCATACTCTTTTTCTCGGATTTTGTCATGTTTTCCCGCTTTCCCTTCTGTCTGTGATACTCCTGTAATATATCTTTCTGGACCGCGTTAATATATAAGTCCAGACACTTGTCTCGATGACTATTTGGTGTCCAATCGCT